AAGGGAGTGACTTCATCTTGTTCCTAAGTCTTACTTTTCCTATTTATAGAATAGAAATAGAATTCTAAGGTATATGAGTTTAAATTTTTTTTATTTAAAAAAATATTCATTTAAAATTGACCTTTTTTGGGGATGCATAATTCTATGAATTTTAACGTAAAAATACAATTTGGATACAAATGAGTTTCATCACCCCCCAAAATTCCATACTATTCTTTCATAGTAACGCTCTCCTCCCACCCATCACCCTTGGCAACCACCGATTTGTTCCCCATCCCCACAGCTTGTCCTTTCCCATATGTCATATAAATGGAATCTCCCAGGATGTAACTTTTTGAGACTGGCTTCTTTCTTTCTTTTTTTTTTTTAAAGATTTTATTTATTTATTTGACAGAGAGAGAGAGCACAAACAGGAGGAGCAGCAGAGGAAGTGGGAGAAGCAGGCTCTCCGCTGAGCAGGGAGCCTGATGTGGGACTCCATCCCAGGCCGCTTGGATCATGACCTGAGCTGAAGGCAGACACTTAAATGAGGGAGACACCCAGGAGCACTTTTCTTTTTTCTTTTCCTTTTTTTTTTTTTTTTAAGATTTTACTTATTCATTTGTCAGAGAGAGAGATCGAGAGAGAGTGAAAGGATCCTATAGCATGGTATGTATAAGCAGAAGAAAATCCTAAATTTTTCATCATGATTCTACTAGAAGCCAATGAAGGAGGGATGAGCTTACTGTGAACATTAAAGTTATTGTACTTGTTACATTCCTCTGGGTAAAAGGATTTTCAAGCTTGGTCTCAAATGTGGTTGCCATATTTTTTAAATCTCCACAGCCAGAGAGCAGTGTATCTTCTTCCCAAACTTTCTTTAATATAACATACCACATGGTAGAGGGACAGCACCAGTTAATTAAATATCATTTAGGACAACAGTGGTTTAGAAGAAACATAGTGTCCACATCTATGTATATATATATTGTGGAAAACCAACATTTTTTTTTAAAAGCCAGTTTTGAGGATAACAAATATTAATTGGTTTAGGTATTTTCTTATTCAGTCACTAACAGAAGAAAAGGCTTTATAAAAAGAGATTTGGATTATATCAATGAGAAACAAAACTGAGTTTTTTCCCTCAAAAAAGGTCTATTAGACGTAAGATACAAGGATCAGTCACCTTCTCATTAACCTCTCAAAATGAATCTATTTCACGACAGGCTTGAAAATGTTTTCTCTCTAAAAGCTACCATGCAGTCTTCACAGTTAATTGTTATTCTTATCAAAGAATGACCCACATTAACATTTAGCTTGAGGTCATTAGCATATTTATAAAGAAAGGGGAGTGGAATAAGCATTCTTTCCTCTGCCATTCTTTGTTGTAGGGTGCTATAAAGGAAAGTTGTGAGAAAAATATGAAGTAAATATTATTAACCAATACTTCAGATTTATCTATAAATATCAAAATGCCTATACCCATCTTAGCCTTGAACTGACAGAGTACTGATTGAATTTTAATTGCATTTAGATACAAGATGGGTTTGGGGTCACTATGCTTTCTTCCTTGATGTAAACAGTGTTAAAGTAGTTAACAAAGACCATTGGCTGAAGATAGAGGTCACAATATAATCTCTTCATTTAGGTACATTGAGATTAATCGCAGCAAATACTCTCTTTGATTATCCCATGAGATTGCATTTTTTTTCCTTGACACCATGGTAGGCATTCTAATACTGTGAAAAATGAACTACTTAAAAAGAATCCAAATATGGACCATGCTCAACAGTTTGGAAGTTATTAAAATGTTTGAGGTTTGAGTGAGCATGTGTCATATGCAGATCATGAAGGTTTGAAAATTCTTGTTTCAAAAATTACTTATTAAAAAGTTTTGTATAATGTCAATAAATGACTTTTGGACTTCCATGGCTTATTTTATTTTTAGGAAAAAAGAGTTAAATTTTATTTGGATTTTTTTCTTCTTCTTTATTTTTTTTTTTAAGAAAGAGAGAGGGAGACAGCACAAGGGCAGGGAGGGGCTAAGGAAGAGGGAGGGAGTCTTAAGCAGACTCTGGTGCTGAGCATGGAGCCCAACACAGGGCCTGATCCCACAACCCTGAGATTGTGACCTGAGCCAAAACCAAGAGTCAGATACTCAACTCACTGAGCCACCCAGGCACCTTGGAATTTTCTTTTTTTTTAGGTAGATTGTTTTCTTAGTTTGAAATCTGACACTTTGTGTTAGGATTGAGAAAGGTGAAAGACAAATCTAAGAGTTAATAGTCATGATGGACACAACCAATTATTTTTCATCAATGTTAAGGGACAGAGAATATTTTCTCAGAGTTTAAACAGTTCACTGCAAATCATAACATCAGAAATTTTAATGTGACTTTGGAATAAAGCCACTATTATTTAGTTCTGTGTTAGAATTAGAGAAAAGCCTGGTATGGTCCATTGGTCTGGACAACAAGAAAGAAGAGAACAACAGAACATGCCCATCTCATCTATTTAATTATATTTTTCAGGGCAACTTTTTGCAGGGGAAAGAAGATAGGAAATGTAGTAGAAAACTCCCAAAGTATAAACTATTTTGAGAGAGTAAAGCATTTGGCAGAATTTGATTAGTTCCTAACATGATGATTTCCAGATAAAGAAGTTAACTCTTTTCTACAAAATCCTTATTTCCTTGTGTTTTCTTACTTGGGAAATCTAGCTGATTAAGAGTTACTAAATTATAAAAGTATCTGTATGTCAATGGCTTTTCCAGGATATTTACCAGTAACTGCCAGTGGTGGTAATGAAGATGTTTAGAAGTCTGAAATAGTCACTGAAAAACTATGTTAACACATATTAACATATTTTGGTTATATAAGAGTAAATATTTGCCTTTCTCTTTTTTTTCCCCTATTGTTTTGTTTCTTAGATTACACATATGAGTGAAATCATATGGTATTTCTCCATTCACATACCTTGGATAAATGTATTTATGCCAAACACAAGGTACACTGAACAATAACCTGAATTAACTGGATGTCTGGCATAAATTTATGGTATTTGTCTCTCTCTGACTGACTTATTTTGCTTAGCATAATACCCTTTAGCTCTATCCATGGTGTTGCAAGATTTCATTCTTTTTTTTTTTTTTAAAGATTTTATTTATTTATTGAAGAGAGAGAGAGTGAGAGAGAGCATGAGAGGGGAAAGGGTCAGAGGGAGAAGCAGACTCCCCACCAAGCAGGGAGCCCGACATGGGACTCGATCCTGGGACTTCAGGATCATGACCTGAGCCGACGGCAGTCGCTTAACCAACTGAGCCACCCAGGCGCCCTTAAGATTTCATTCTTTTTGATGGCTAAGTAGTTTTCTATACATCCTTATCTATTCATCAGTCAATGGACATTTGGGCTCTTCCCATAATATGGCTATTGTTGATAATGCTGCTATAAACATCAGGGTACACAGATTCTTAATTATAAAGAACAGACTGAGGGTTGCTGGAGGGGAGGTGGGTGGGGGGAATGGGTTAAATGGGTGATGGGTATTAGGAGGGCGCTTGTGATGAGCACCAGGTATTATATGTAAGTGATGAATCACTATATTCTACACCTGAAACTAATATTACACTGCATGTTAACTAACTGGAATTTAAATAAAAACTTGGAAAAAATAATAAATAACAGATTAAAAAAAAGAGTAAGTAGTGTTGAGCATGGATTTTGGAAAGAAACGCTGAGATGTGCCCTTCAGCTCTTCCACTCCCACCTATCTGAATCTGGCTTTGTTACTGATCCTTTCTGAATCTGTTTCCTTATTTATAAACTTTAGATAAAATATCAGTCTCCTACAGTTGTGAAAAGTACCCAAGGTATCATATGTGAAACCTTTAAATACAGAGTGTGCCAGAGACTTTGTGTTTTATAAATACCAACTGTTATTATCTTTATTCTCAATTATATTGTTTTGTGTAGTTGAAATTTGGACAGTGCTTATTCAGTCAGCTAATACAAGAAAAAAAAAAAGGTTAAGGAGGGAAAAATCCCTGTTTGCTATTCTTTACGGCAACCCTCTTTCTGCCCTACCTAGGCTGACATGGACTAGTCTCTGATAAATGGAATTTATGTTTATAATCCATCCAGGGACAATGCATGCATAGTTCAGAATAGAAATGGAGGAAATGAAGAATGGCTTCATGGAGTGGAACACTTAGAAATTCACAGAATTTATGGTGAAAATATTTAGCCATGTGAATGAAATAAAGTCACAAAATAAAGGGAGTTCCCAGGTCTTGAAATATTTCCTTATGTGATAGATACTGTAAGTCCCTTGTATTCCCTCTCTTTTAATATCTACCTAGTCTTGCTTAGATTTCAACAAAGCTAAAAGAAGAAATGATATTTAAAGCAGGCCATTGGTTATGTGTTAGTCATTAAATTTTTGCTGAGGAGGTGCTTAAAATAGTTGACAGGCATATCATGTGTTGGCTTTTTCAGGTTCCCAGATTACTGATGTAAGGGCCAAGGGCAGCTGCCCAAGATGGACCACAATGGCAAGAAGATTATTTTGAGCTAAAGGCAATTGAGACCGTGCAGACTGAAGAGAAACTTTTACTCTTCCCTTAACTACATAGAAGAATCCAAATTGGGGGTCTTCCCCAGATTAAGGGTCATTAGCAGAGATAAATTTCATCTGAGTGACCCATCTGTATGGCAGGGCAAACATCTAATTACCAAATACCTGCTTTTCTTCTTATCACTCTATGAAGTACATTCCTTTCCTCTGATGTCCCAGGTCCCTCCCCCCTTCCCCTTAGTTCAGAATAACATATAGACTTCATTTGTCTGACTGCCTTTGGAATTTCCATATTTGTGTGGATTCCTTGTAGGCACAGTATTAAATTTGATTTTCTCCTGTTAATCTGTCACCTGTCAATTTGATTTTAGTCCAGCTAGAAGGACCTTAAAGAGGACAGGAATTCTTGCTCCCCAACACTGAGCACACCTGGAAATGATCCTCACCTGGTAGAATTCTAGTGTAATACCCAGAGCAGCAGTGATGATTTGGTTGAGCCTCTTGTATCCGGCCACCACAACAAACCACAGTTGAATTCAAAACGAATGGGATATACTTCTCTTCACAGCAGTGGTGCCCAGGCTGGGGGTCATAGAGAACTCCATTACAACAAACCTGAAGGTGGGAATTGGGTTAAAGAAATATCAGTTTAATTAAAAGTAATATACCGTCATATCTCATGTGATACAATTATATTCTAATAGGCCTTAACCTGAGACCAAATGTAGTCTATTACGGATAAAAATTCAAAAGTTTGAAAAATGCATTTTCCCAGCATCATTTAAATTCTATATACGCTATTTGATACAATGTAGCTTTTTTAGACTTCAATCATGCTTTGTGCTCTGTTATCACACTCTATAAATATGAATTCTCCTTTGAATGTCAGTGCTCCCAATATAAAGAAGACTTAGAATTGTAAATGAACAATTGCCTTCATATATACGTTTTTATTTTAATGATTGTTTAATTTGAAAATACGTTTATGGAAAACTATCTCTCATTGAACTTTTTTTTTAATAAATAGCCTTTTCCTTATAATTTATATGATCACTTATTTACGAACCCAATCTTCAGACAAGGCAATCTCAACAAAGTCTAACATTTACATATATATGTGTGTGTGTGTGTGTGTGTGTGATACATATATATGTATATGTCATAGGCCACCATATTAAAAAAAAGAAATTTATATGGAAATTAATTTTGAAAAGCCCTTTTAACAATGTATTTTTTCCAGGAGCTATAGAAGAAATTATGTGCTTGAACAATCAAATAATTATTTGCATGCACTTGAGGTCTGAGAGACTGACACTCTGTATATATAACAAATCAAATGCTAAATAGTTGCTGAAAAGTAGCCTCAGAACCTATACTTGGCATAAGTCACTTTAATTAGATAGAAGCTTCCTGTGGCAGGCAAAATCAACCACTATTTAGAGGTTTCTCTTTTTCCATTTTGCACATTGCTATTTCTAGCTTGCACCAACTTGTGAATCAAGCTCAATATAAGGTGGTAGAACATGGACTAAGTCCTCAAAACACCATTGGCATAGACTTCATTAATTTTTTAAAAATTACCAATGAACAAAGAAATAGGGCTCTTAAATTTAAAGTATACTCCTGTGGTTTCTCAGGTAGCCATGTTAAACCAACTGTAATGAATTTCCTTTTCTGTATTTAGTTATTAGCAGTGAGGATTCAAAATTAGTCTAATGCCAAAGATAAACTGGGTGATCCTTCTCTTTAATGCCATACTCTGTGCGAAAAGTAAATTTTGAAATTATGCCCCATGTTTAAGACTTAAGCAAAAAATTGTTATGTGTTTATTTGGGATTTAAGGATGCTGGTCATTTTTGTTTTCAGGGTAAAACAATGCATACCTTCTTCTTGTTTTATGACAGTGACCTAATCTTGCTCTTTGTTGTGTGGTCTTAAAGCATTTGTTAAAGCCCAATTCTCATAAAGTGCATTTCTAGACACTGAAGCACATCTAGCCTTTTTCTTCAGCAAGCTTCTCTAGTCCTTATCATTTTCTTGTGGAATTTTCACTGGAATGTTTATTTAGTGTTGACCCATTAGAACTGGTTCACTCCATCCTTCCATTGCCATTCTCAGACTCCTTTAGCCACATGAAACTTGTAAATTTTTTCTAGTGCCCTTGGGTTTAGATCATTTGTGGGTCCCCAAAGTGACATGTTCAAGCAATTATTCCTCTTGGGAGTTCTCCACATAAACAGAATATTTCTTAATCTTCTAATTCAGTTTTCGAGAACTGAAAACTGAACTCAGAAAACATACATGGAAATTCCAATAACTTGAGTTGATAAATGTGTACCTAATATATAAATAGCCTTTTCCTTGTTCTATAGTTTCCTAAAGCAAGTCTGTAATCTAGTGATTCTCAAAATATGGTTCCTGGAACAGATGCAAAGGCATCACCTGGGAACATGTTAGAAATGCAAATTTTCACACTCCACCCATGATTTACCAAATCAGAGTTTCTGGGGGTGGGACCTGCAATCCGTGTTTTAACAAGCCTTCCAGGTCTAATGTTCACTGGGGTTTGAATACATGGTAAATTTTGCATATGTGTTTCAGATCCTCCTGATATTTGTGGTGATTTAGCCAAAAAATTCTCAGTCTCTTTTCTAACTCTTTCTAACTTCTCACCCAAGAAATATATATTCATAGTTAACTCTAAACAGAAATTTACAAACAATTGCTTTCTTTAGAGATTTTTAATTGACTTCCTTTACTCTCTTTAACTGTCAATACCTGTGTATGTCCTTAATCCTTAAAATAAAAATAAGCCTTTGCTTAATACATAAAAGATTTCTTTCTTTCTCCTAGAGAACATTTTTTTTTATTTATTTATTTGACAGAGAGAGACACAGCGAGAGAGGGAACACAAGCAGGGGGAGTGGGAAAGGGAGAAGCGGGCTTCCTGCGGAGCAGGGAGCCCCATGTGGGGCTCGATCCCAGGACCCTGTGATCATGACCTGAGCCGAAGGCAGATGCTTGACTGAGCCACCCAGGCACCCCGCCTAAGGAACATTTTTAATGGGCAAATTTATTCCAGCATTTTTTCCTTCAAAAATCTTTAATTTAATTTTATTTTATGGAGGTACGTTCATCAGATAGTGTACATTTATTTTTTAATTTTTTAAATTTTTTTAGTTTTTTATTGTTATGTTAATCACCATACATTACATCATTAGTTTTTTGATGTAGTGTTCCATGATTCATTGTGTACATTTAATGGCCTAAAATAATGTAAAAGTTAGGCATAATGGCAATTCTGGAGCCTAAGTGTCAAAAATGTATAGTTAGTAACTGCTAGTTTTATAACATTTCCTAGATGATAGCCACTGCTTGGTCAGTGTCGGCTATAATAATTTGTATTTTGATCCCTATTGCTTCAACAACTCACTTTCTTAATTACTGTGTCTTTTTGCAGTGAATCTTTTGAATTTAGTAACAGCTTTAGTCATTAAATGTGTGATGTTCTTGTTGACAAATAGGAACATTATTTCATTAGATGAAATCCTACCTTCAAAGTAAGGATTTTCTGCATCATTTGTCAATAAAAGCCATTTACAAACTCCTCTGTCTGGCTGTGCTATTGATCTGATTCCTAAACTGCAACTAATATGAACATTAATCTGCAAATGGCCATAATTTTAAAATATTTCTGACAAACCATGGAAGGTACTGCTCACAGTTACTCATCAGTGTCATGTAAACAAACAGGCACTTGTAGCTGAATGGATATGTTGTAAGGAAAATTCAAGTCATTCAATCAAATACAAATTTGGGAGTTCCTTACCATTTCAATAAACTAATATTTCCTATGAAGATGATGAAAAATGAGAAGGCTAAGATGCTCATGAGGATGAGAGGATTTTTATAAGCATCCTTTCTTTTCCACGGGGTCTTCCCTGATAGACTAGTGGAAAAATTGATCATGACAAACCATGGTTTAAGAAGCAAGTGATTTCACCTGGAGTGTTTAGCGAGAAAAATATATTTCACTGACTCATATGAGAAGATATACCTGAGCTTCTGGAGAATAGCACCTCTCTCCACAGATAGTTTTAGGTTTTTGACACTTCACTGCCTTGCAGAGCTCACCACTGTGGTCCTTCCTTAACTTCTGAGTTTTAGGGCATGAATGCCATGTTTTACGTAAGACATCATATCCGAGGATAATGCCATTTGACTTCCCTGGAGACAGCCAATCAACTTGAAGGGATCTGCAATGGATAGAATAATCAATACCTCTGAAAAGACAATATTTAACATCAGTGCTCTCAGCCTCACATACTTTCAGTTAATCTCCCAGATTCGTCAAAAGGTCCATTTTGTCAATAACTTCTTAATTAAGAAGCTGAAGCAAAAGAATATATATATTAATATATGTATGCTCATAGATGCCACTACCATAAAATATGTTTAGAGAATCGATGAAAACCATGTAGCTTTTGGGAGGATAACACATGACAGGAGTCCAGTGATCTCCCACCTTAAATTATAGAGACAAGAAGAAAGTACCATTGTTCTGTCTAATCAGGAAAACCAACAGAAGAATTTGGTTGGATTAGGAAAAGTAAGACACAAGTAATATGATAAGGTGGTAAATAAGGTGGAAATTAGAACATGTGGCAGACCTCATCTCTACTTAAAATCACCTTCTCTTTTGCCTTCCTTTCCTAGCTCACACATAGCTGCTCATAGATATGCGCTAGAAAACCACAGTGGGGGCCTCTGAAGGTTCCTAGCCAATTTCAGCTTTCTTGGCACAGCCATCACCTGCCCCTTTTCTTTTTTTGTTAAACATGATGTCTGCAACTATAGCAATCATCTTGCAGCCACTTGAGAAAGATCATAATCACCAAGAGAGGCCACCATGTTATTTGGTGCAGCTGAACCAATGCAAGCAACAATTTACAATCTCTGGAACTTAAGCCTCTGTTGTTGGGTGTCTTGTTACTTTTAGCCAAAATAAATGCCCAAATTGACAAAATCTTGTTATCAGCGGAAAAACTTACCAATTGGTAAAAAAAAAATGATAAATTTATTATTTATAAATTATATCAAGTGATAAACCTGATATAAAATCCCTACAAATACACTTTACTTTGACATATCTTGATTTTTGACTGACACAAACAGATTTGTTTCTCTAATAATTCTTTTTTTTAAAAGATTATTTATTTGAGACAGAGAGAAAGAGCACATGAGCAGGGGTGGGAGGGGCAGAGTGAAAGGGAGAAGCAGACTCCCCGCTGAGCAGGGAGCCCTAAATGGGGCTGGATCCCAGGACCCTGAGATCATGACCTGAGCTGAAGGCAGATCCTTAACCTACTGAGCCACCCAGGTGCCCCTCCAATAATTCTTTAAATATCATAGTTGGTTTGTTTTGTGGTAAGAAATATAGGATTGGGAATTCCCATAACAAGTATCTTCACATCATCATATTCTCAGGGATGCTTGATTCTTAAAAGTTGAGCAACAATTTCATTTTAAATATGAGTATACTTTTCTGGGGGGAGGTTGGTATACAATAAGGGCATAATATCTGACCAAAACTTTATTTCACTTTCAATGATCTATTAGTATTTCATTTGTTGAAATAAATGAAATCATAACATCAAGCTGTCCACTAGGAATCAACCCTGAGTAAAATGATTTATTTTCGGGTTAATGCTATAGAACTTTAACTCTGCACTTAGGACTACTTGCCAGAAATGATACAGCCTAGATTACACACCTGTACTATCTTTAGCATTTTAAAAATAAACTCTATGAGCAGAATAGTTAAAAATTTTAATAAAGCCCCAGAGATTTGGATATGACATATTCTTGTAATTTAGCATGGCATAGAAAGCCTACTAAACGTAAAACACTAAGTAAATGTAAAATAATAATTATTTTTATTCTCATTATTTTCAAAAAAGGGGTGGAACTTTGACATTCAAGATTAATTCTATTTTTATAATTCTACAATTTCCAACTATAACAATTAACCAATTAGAAATAGTTATAGGGCATTTTTACATAGAATACATTCCAGTAGATACTTTGGAGGAGAGCAAGCACACAGAAACTTAGTCCCTGTACTTTAAAGTATTTTTACAATAAAAATCTTACAATAACTTATGTGACCACTTTTCTGTCACTGTGTTAAATGGTATTTTTGTTATATCTTTCATTTTAAGAAGAAATACATCTTTACAGGCAAAACTACTGGACCCTATCAGAATTCCAAGTGACATCATATATTAGGAATTCAATGAAGCCCAAACATTTACATTAAAAAGCAGCAGTCAAGATAAACCTTGACATTTTAATAGACTGCTAAAAAAAAAAAAAAGAAAATTATTTCATTTTCTTGGGGGTACAAACATAACACATTCACTAATAAGACTCTGTAGAGAGGAAATTAATGTCACCTACAAGAGAACAGTTTCATAGGTGACTTGTATAGTCAGCATTATTATTCTAAGGTCTTCATCCGACTCTCAAAATTAATTCCACATTTTCCAGATACCTCTTTTGTATTCACTGCATATTCAACTATAGGAAAGACTACATTTAAGTGACATTCAAGGGTCTGACTTTTCTACAAAAGCCGGTGAATTAGTAAAGTCTAGAAAACACCATGTAGAATACCACACCATTGTAACTTCTTCTAGCAGAGAATAGGTGTGAAGTGAGACTGCTTATATTTTTAATGATAACATGAACAGTTTTGCTTTTGAGGATCTGAGACAGGTACATGAAGGTAAATGATCAAAGAAGAGTAATGAGTTTAACACCTATACATCTCTCATTAGAACCAAAGAGTATAGGGCGCCTGGGTGGCTCAGTTGGTTAAGCAACTGCCTTTGGCTCAGGTCATGATCCTGGAGTTCCGGGATCGAGTCCCACATCGGGCTCCCTGCTTGGCAGGGAGTCTGCTTCTCCCTCTGACCCTCCTCCCTCTCATGCTCTCTGTCTCTCATTCTCTCTCTCTCAAATAAATAAATAAAATCTTAAAAAAAA